TGCTGAACAGACAAACCCATTCAAAGGCAGATTTTCTTTAAATCTTAATATTGGAATAGCAAGCTCTGGTTATGCATACCAGTGCCTGAAATACCAGCAGTGCTAGAAGAAAATGATTAATGAACAATGGCCCGAATCAGTCAAAGTATTTGTACATTTGCTTCTTCCCAAGATGTACTCACCTTTTGAGAAATATCTGGCAGCCTACACTAATTTTATCTTTAATTCACTCATTTACCACCAAAAGAACTTGTTCAGCTTTCTGCTACATCTCTTTAATTTTGCAGCATTGCCTAATAGTTTGTAATACCATTTACAGTGGTCTAAGGGAACCTGCCTTCAATTCTCCTCTTTTTTAACAACATTTTTAAAGCTTAAAACCCTGCTTTAGTATTTTGGCATCCCTTGCCCTATTGCCTTTTCCACACTTTGCTATAGATGGTGACGTCCCCAGCAGTCAGGCAGCTTCACTCATCGCAACATGCGTGTTGCCAGCACCACCTCAACACCCAGCTTCTACTGCACTGCCTTCCCAGTCCAGCCTGGATGAGTGCCTAATCCACCACTTAGGTAGACAGCTCTGGGCCATGGCCAAAATCCAGTGCCTCATAATATTAAATATCCAAGACCAGATACACCACAGCCACTCCTGTCATGAAGGGAGTAACACCATTGTGGCGTGGGGGCAGAATCCATTCTTGCCCTTTGTGCGAAGCCACTGCTCTGCTCATCAGAGTTCCATACCCGTTCCTCCCTCCCTGTTTGTGCTCTGTCTCCCACATCCAGCTGCCCCGGGAGTCTCAAGGGTGCCTTTGCACTCAGTTTGCCCACTCAGAGTCTTGTTTGACTACCCCTTCCGCACAATCCCTCTTTTCAGGGTCTCCAACCTCAATGATCTCTCCACCTCAAGTCACTTACCCTAATCACGTTATTTGCACATCAGTCGTATTAAACACCTTTAATGTAGACACTTCATTTGGTATCAGAGCGGGTAATGTAACCATTGTTTAAAACCCCTCGTCTTTGATCTGATGCTTGCCTTCAATTTGCCATCTCCGAACAGTTCCCTGTTCCCTTCCTTCAGCTTGACCCATTCTTAAAGTCGGTTTGACCCGACTTGCGGAGGAATTCATTTTTTTGCGATCCCAAGGGCACTGTCCGGGACCTCTGAGGTCTCACTTACTGCTACACAACCCCCCTCATCACGTCCCGCTCCTCGACGTTGCTCAAAGAGCGCTTCCTCCACGTCCCTCCCCCCGACAGCCGGTTGCTGTGCTGCATTTACACCGCCTCAGAGCCCCGAGAATCCCTTAAGTACTCTTTTTCCCCTCCCATCTTCTACTTTCAACCAGTCATCCCCTTTTCCAGCAATGAGACGTCATCAATGTATGTTGTGCTCGGAACAACGGTAGCGGCCAGAAGAAACCGTTAAGTGAGCAAAGGCAAAAAAAATAAAGGCAAATAGTAAAATCGGGTTATCTCGGAACTGTGGAGCACATGGCTGCTCCACACTCGTGTTTGAACATCATCATCTACGTCAGCGACGATTTTAAGGCGCCATTTCCGCGGGCAATGCATCAGAAGCAGCGCAGACGCGGAGCGGTGCCTTCGGCGGAGTTTGCAGAACACGTCCCGCTCGGTACTGAGGCTCGGGGATATCCCAGGGGTGCCCAACAGAACCGAGGGGCCTCGCTAGTGCTAAATTAGGACACGGCGCTTCAGCAG